ATGTAGATTTTTTTTTTTTCTTCAACAAGTCGGTTGTCTCGCACCTAGGCAGGGTGACCCAAAAAGAAAGAAAATCCCCAAAATGAAAATACTTTCATCATCATTCAACACTTTCACCTCACTCATACATAATCACTGTTTTTGCAGAGGCACCCAGATACAACAGTTTAGAAGCATATATAAAGATACAATATAAAAAGTGACCTAAAATAATACAATGAACTCCATATAGAATATAATATCAGGCCCCCAATTATATATATACCATCCTATTACACATCCCTCCAAACTGCCAATATCCCAAACCCCTCTTTTAAAGTGCAGGCATTGTACTTTCCATTTCCAGAACTCAAGTCCGGCTATATAAAAATATGTAACCAGTTTCCCTGAATCCCTTCACTAAATATTACCCTGCTCACATTCCAACAGCTTGTCAGGTCCCAAAACCCATTTGTCTCCATTCACTCCTATCTAACACGCTCACGCATGCTTGTTGGAAGTCCAAGCCCCTCACCCACAAAACCTCCTTTACCCCCTCCCTCCAACCTTTTCAAGGATGACCCCTACCCCACCTTCCTTCCCCTACACATTTATACACTCTCCATGTCATTCTACTTTGACCCATTCTCTCTAAATGACCAAACCACCTCAACAACCCCTCTTCAACCCGCTGACTAATACTTTTATTAACTCCACACCGTCTAATTTTCACACATCGAATTCTCTGCATAATATTTACACCATACATTGCCCTTAGAGAGGGCATCTCCACTGCCTCCATCTGCCTCCTCACTGCAGCATTCACAACCCAAGCTTCACACCCATGTGAGTGTTGGTATCACTATACTTTCATACATTGCCTTCTTTGCCTGCAATGATAACATTTTTTGTCTCCACATATACCTCAATGCACCACTCGCCTTTTTTCCCTCATCAATTCTGTGGTTAACCCTTTCAGGGTTTCTGACGTACTAGTACGGCTTATGCACCAGGGTTTTTGACGTACTAGTACGCCTAAATTCTAGCGCCCTCAAATCTAGTAAGAGAAAGCTGGTAGGCCTACATATGAAAGAATGGGTCTATGTGGTCAGTGTGCGTAGTATAAAAAAAATCCTGCAGCATATAGTGCATAATGAGGAAAAAAAAAAAACTTTGACACTGTTTTTGGTTTAAAACAGCGACTTTGCACTGTATTTTCGTATGGTATTTATGATGGTATTCTAGTTTTCCTGGTCTCATTTTATAGAATGGAAGACATATTACAGAAATTGAGACGATTTTGATTGGTTTTACAATGAAAAGTACCTTGCAATTGAGCTCAAAGTAGCAGAAATCTTCAATTTTTGCCAAAGTTCAAAAGTAAACAAATCATGCTACGCGTCCAATACACGTCAACTGGTGAGTCTAATATTCTTTCACAAGTGTGCTGATATTATTTATACCATTTCTACACTAATGCAGTAGTCTGCATAACAGTAAATCTTCTATTTTTTGTGAGAATAAAAATTCAAAGTGGAAAGCAAAAGAATGTAAGAGGGGCGTGGGGATGTGACTAATGAACAGAGGAAATGTTATTTTATTGCCAGGAGTGTCTTTCTTGTTTATTCTGGACCCTATTTTGAAATTGGCATTTTCTGAAATTTGTGTGAAATTGGCAAAATTGCTAAATTCTGACCACTTTATTGGATAGTTGAAATCGGTAAATGGGTGGTTTCTTGTACTCATTCAATAGAAAAAATGGAGTTCTAGCGAAACAGTTATGATTTTTGTCGACTAGTACACTGGAATTGGCCAAAAATAAGGCTCAAAGTGGGCAAAATTGCCGATGCGTAAACATCGTCGAGACCGCTAAATTCGCGAGAGCATAATTCCGTACGTTTTCCATCAAATTTCATACTTTTGATGTCATTATGATCGGGGAAAGATTCTCTACCTTTTCATAAGAAAAAAATTTTTTTTTTTTTTTTTTTTTGAAAATTTGTCGACTCTGAGAACAAGTCTGGGAGATGGCCTGTCAACCCTGAAAGGGTTAACCTCATCCTTCATAAACCCATCCGCTGACAAGTCAACTCTCAAATATCTGAAAACATTCACTTCTTCCACACTCCTCCTCTACAATGTGATATCCAATTATTCTTTATCTAAATCATTTGATACCCTCATCACCTTACTCTTATCTATGTTTACTTTCAACTTTCTACCTTTACACACACTCCCAAACTCGCCCACTAACCTTTGAAACTTTTCATTAGAATCACCCATAAGTACAATATCATCTGCAAAAAGTAACTGTGCCAACTCCCATTTTGTATTTGATTCCCCATAATTTAATCCTACCCCTCTCCCCAACACCCTAGCATTTACTTCTTTTACAACCCCATCTATAAATATATTAAACAACCATGGTGACATTACACATCCCTGTCTAAGACCTACTTTTACCGGGAAGTAGTCTCCATCTCTTCTACACACCCTAACCTGAGCCTCACTATCCTCATAAAAACTCTTTACAGCATTTAGTAACTTACTACCTATTCCATATACTTGCAACATCTGCCACATTGCTCCCTTATCCACTCTATCATATGCCTTTTCTAAATCCATAAATACAATGAAAACTTCCCTACCTTTATCTAAATACAGTTCACATGTATGCTTCAATGTAAACACTTGATCTACACATCCCCTACCAACTCTAAAGCCTCCTTGCTCATCCGCAATCCTACTCTGTCTTACCTCTAATTCTTTCAATAATAACCCTACCGTACACTTTTCCAGGTATACTCGGTAAACTTATTCCCCTATAATTTTTACAATCTCTTTTGTCTCCCTTCTCTTTATATAAAAGAACTATACATGCTCTCTGCCAATCCCTAGGTACCTTCCCCTCTTCCATATATTTATTAAACAAAAATACCAACCACTCTAACACTATATCCCCTCCCCTTGCTTTCAACATTTCTGTCATGATCCTGTCAGTCCGTGCTGCATTACCCCCTTTCATTCAACGTAATGTCTCACTCACCTCCTGCTCTTGTTCACTCCTAAAAGATGTTATGCCTCCCTAGCCAGTGCATGAAATGACCGCCTCCCTTTCTTCGTCAACATTTAAAAGTTCCTCAAAATATTCCTGCCATCTACCCAATACCTCTATCTCCCCATCTACTAACTCCTCTACTCTGCTTTTAACTGACAAATCCATTCATTCCCTAGGCTTTCTTAACTTGTTTAATTCACTCCAAAATTTTTTCCTATTTTCATTAAAATTTCTTAACAGTGCCTCTCCCACTATCATCTGCTCTCCTTTTGCACTCTCTCACCATTCTCTTCACCTTTCTTTTACTCTCCGTATACTCTGCTCTTCTTATAACACTTCTGCTTTGTAAAAACCTCTCATAAGCTACCTCTTTTTCTATTATCACACCCTTTATTTCATCATTCCACCAATCACTTCCTTTCCTCCTGCCCCCAGCCTCCTATAGCCACAAACTTCTGCCCCACCTTCTAATACTGCATTTTTAAAACTATTCCAACCCTCTTCAACCCCTCCACTACTCATACTTGCACTAGCCCTCCTTTCTGCCAATAGCTGCTTATACCTTACACTAACTTCCTCCTCCCTTAGTTTATACACTTTCACCTCTCTCTTACTCGTTGTTTCCATTTTCCTTTCGTCCCATCTACTTCTTACTCTAACTGTAGCTACAACTAAATAATGATCCGATATATCAGTTGCCCCTCTATAAACATGTACATCCTGAAGCCTACCCATCAACCTTTTATCCACCAATACATAATCTAACAAACTACTTTCATTATGTGCTATATCATACCTTGTATATATGTATCAGCATCAAATGATAATCAACCCCATGGGCATCCAACAACAACATCCACTAACAGTAAATAATAACAGTCCAGGAACAGAGTCCTAAGTAATGCCAAAGGCAAAGGTAAAATCACAGGTGCAGAATCATTGACTACCACTTGATATGAATGACCAAGAAAGCTAGGATTTTGGAAGCTCCATTATCCTTAACCCGTAAACAGTCCAAACGTATATATACGTTTTTTCAACATTTGAAAGTATGTAAAAAAAGTAGATCTTCTTTTTGTTTTTTTTACATTTGAAAATGTGTAAAAAAAACTTTGATCTACTTTTTTTTTGTTATATTTGAAAATATGTAAAAAAAAAGTAGATCTACTTTTGTAGCACTACACATGTGAACGTAGATCTGCTTGGACCGTTTACAGGTTAAGACCACAAATGAAAAGGTCACTTATCAGTAATCCATGATCAATGGTATCAAATGCAGTAACAAGGTTCAATAAAATTAGCAGCAGTGCATATCCTAAACTATTATAAACTTTGTATAAAGCCATCTCAGTTGAATGAAATGGTCTATACATAGACTGAACACATGCTAAACCATTTCTCTGCTCCCAAAAAGAAAATTTATCAAGAATAGCACATTCAATCAATTTAGAAAGGAATGTAAGATTTGAAACAGGATAACAGATAAGTGTTTTCTGAATAAAGGGTAAGCCTCTTGAGGCACATAAAAACCAAAGCCCCATTCACTGACTGGAAAACATCACTTTCAAAATAACGACTGATCAACAGTTATAAAAGGAAGAGCGCTTTCCTATACAGGGAAGATCTTTCATATATTCATGATTTAACAGTAGCCAACCAAGGATTATTAAATTCTTCAAGACCTTACAGAGTGAAGAGGAGCACCAAGAGATGAGTAATAGGTGTGTGGCTTATAACAACATGGCACCATGACCTCTTAACAAAAAAATCAAGTTATGATTCTGTATTATTTATTTACAAATCTTAAAAATGTGGTAAATTTTAAATATAAGCTGCACACTCATGCTTTTCATGTACTGTATAGATACCAGTAACTGAAAATTCACACAAGTAAATGAGGAAATTTATTTATAGCTTCCATAAAAAGATCATTTTACCTAAGAGGGTAAATAAAAGGATTTACCTGTTTTCTCTTTCCTGCAGAAGTACCAAGGGATCTACCCCAGTGGGCTTAGTAATTGGAGTAACGCGACTTGTTTTACCACCAGCAGTAGGCACAGGGGTTGTTCCAACATTTGGTGTAGGCACCTGCTGTGTATTTATTAATTGAATTAGCACAATTTTACATTAATGACATGTCAAAACAACTATCTTTCGTGTTTCTTCCTACTCTCTCTTTTATGTTGAACTGCTGAAGACAATCCCCATTTTTTTCAAAAAATCCCTATTTAGGATGAAATACCATCTATTAATAATGCCTTGCTGTTGTGTGTGTGTCTTACATTCCTAATAAGAGAACTCCTTCAGGCACAAATGTGAATTTAACATGTTATACAAACAATATACATCACCTGAGGCCTTGGGGTAGTGCCTGGTACAGGTCCAGTTGCTACTGGCTGAGAACTCATGACACCAGAAAGTGGAGGAGGGGTCTGTGATGGACCTGTTCCATTGTATGGGGGACGCACTGCTGGCATTGGTCCTAGTGAAATCATATCTGTTTTAAAGTTGTAACATAAAAATAATGAAACTCAGACATTTACAGTTACAATATAAAATGTGCTATATTTTAAATAAATGAAGGAGTAAGATGCTGTTAGTAAACAATTGTACACGGAACAGGAATAGCATGTAAATATTGATAAAGTGGAATAAATGACATTTAGATGTGGATATAATATATTTCAGAACAATGCTTCATCCACATGAGAGAGAGCATAGAAAAATGTGATAACATTAAAGATATCTTCTCCAAGGCCCACTTCCCATCTTGCTTTACACATGACTGCAAGAAAAGAGCACTAAAAACTTATGATAACACATTAAACAAAGAAGTAAACTGACAGGTGAATCATTTTTCCCACCTACAGTATATTACCAGCAACCTTGCCACCATGCTGTCCATAAGGAACACCATCACAGTCATTCCTTCTAATACCATCAAGGACCTTACTAGAAACACAGCCATCATGGTGCAGAAAAAACAACCCACATTATTCCCTGTAATGAATGTGACAAATGTTACACAGGGAAAACTTCATAGGGCACTGTCACGTGGATCAAAGAATGCCAGTATGCATGCAGAACAAATAATACAAACACTTGATGAGTTACACATTAAGTTGTGTATGTTATACATTAAGATATGTGTATTATACTTTAAAATGTATGCGTTATATATTAAGATGTGTGTTATATAGGTAGGTAGTAGGTTGGTAGAGAGCAACCACCCAGAGATACTACTATCCTACCAAATGAGTGTGAAACATAAGCCTGTAACTGTTTTGCATGATGGTAGGATTGCTGGTGTTTTTTTCTGTCTCATAAACATGCAAGGTTGCAGGTATGTCTTGCTACTTCTACTTATACTTAGGTCACACTACACATACATGTACATGCATATATATACACCCCCCTGGGTTTTCTTCTATTTTGTTACGAGTTTTTGTTCTTGTTCATTTCCTCTTATCTCCACAGAAAAGTGGAACAGAATTCTTTCTCTCTAAGCCATGCGTGTTGTAAAAGGCGACTAAAATGCCGGGAGCAAGGGGCTAATAACCCCTTCTCCTGAATATTTTACTAAAGTAAAAGAGAAACTTTTGTTTTTCTTTTTAGGCCACCCTGCCTTGATGGGATGCCACCGGTGTGTTGAATGAGAAGAAAGTGCGTTATACATTAAGATGTGTGTATTATACATTAATATGTGTGTGTTATACATTAATATGTATGTGTTATACATTAAGATATATGTGTTATACATTAAGATGTATGTGTTATACATTAAGATGTATGTGTTATACATTAAGATACTGACAAATAGTTCCTGAAATGAACTGATACTAAACTAATTATCAAAGAATGGCACAGATATCAGAAGTTAAATATCTACACTTATAAGCAATATTACATAAAACCAGAATACCTTCATACCAGCTAAACCTTTAACTTCCCATACTTGCAAGTTATCCAGGCATCCAGGAACCAACATAATAGTTTGATATACTTCCAGAATTGCTCCCTCATGGTGAGATACAAAGATTGTGTACCACTAAGGCAGGGTACATGGTGAGATACAACAGTTGTGTACCACTAAGGCAGGGTACATGGTGAGATACAATGGTTGTGTACCACTAAGGCAGGGTACATGGTGAGATACAATGGTTGTGTACCACTAAGGCAGGGTACATGGTGAGATACAATGGTTGTGTACCACTAAGGCAGGGTATCTCAAAGAAGAGAACATATTCACTATATTTTATCGTCAATGTCTTTGCAGAAGTATGCTAACATCACAGTTAAAATGGCACTACTTTGATAAACCTTTAATTTACCTTTGAAGGGTTTCAAGAACATTCCTAGACCCACAGCCTGGTGCTTGACTGGTCAACCAGGCTGTTGCTACTGGCAGCCTACTTGCTGCTGGACTTGAGTCCTGGAGGTGGGAAGTACAGTACAGTGGACCCCCGCATAACGATCACCTACAAATGCGACCAATTATGTAAGTGTATTTATGTAAGTGCGTTTGTACGTGTATGTTTGGGGGTCTGAAATTGACTAATCTACTTCACAATATTCCTTATGGGAAAAAATTCGGTCAGTACTGGCACCTGAACATACTACTGGAATGAAAAAAGTTCGTTAACCGGGGGTCCACTGTACCTGCACTCTGAAGGAGGGGTGGGGATATTTGCAGTTTGGAGGGGCATCTTAACCGTAGTATTGGCATAACTCTGGCAAGACAGTGATAAGAGTGAATGATGGTGAAAGTGTTTCTTCTTTTTCAGGCCACCCTACCTCGGTGGGAGATGGCTGGTGCTAATAAAAAAAAATATTAACTGAAGATAAACAATTACTTCCATTTTAATACAAAAACCATAATCTTAATATATGAATAAAAGTGACTACTAAGGGACTATACTGTCTCAAATTAACTGAGGTATTCCTGAAGCACAGTTTACCACTTTAAAAGCTATCCTACAACAGTCATACAGTACTACATCATTTTTCTCTTTTACACAATGATGACATGCACAACAAAATTTTGTATATTTACCAGGGTGTCTTGCATATGGCATACTGGGTGGTCCAGGAGGTCCTGGTGTACCCGGTGGACCTTGAGTGCTAGGAAGACCAGTGGGAGGTCCAGTTGGGGGCCCAGTGGGAGGGCCAGTAGGGGGACCTGCTGGAGGGCCAGTAGGGGGTCCAGTTGGGGGACCTGCTGGGGGACCCTGTGATCCAGGAAGACCAGGTCCAGGTGGCCGAGTTGGGTCCTGTTCTGACCGACGACCTTGAGCCAGAGCAGAAACATGACTAGGGACTGGTTGATTACGGGCAATACAACGATAGGCCATTATCTGTGCTCTTAATTGATGCATCTGTGAAGGATTTAGCAAGCCTGCCCTTTGTGCGTCTTGCCCTGTTGCCCCTGGAGGGCCATAACCAGGACCACCTGGAGGCCCTGGTGGACCACTACCCCCACTTGTAGAACCACTTCCTGGAGGTGGTGGTCCCATATTCATATTACCATATTTTGCCCTCATGTTAACTAGATCAGTATAACGTGGATCATTTTGTAAGCCTTTATCTTCCATTGTGTTAATTGCTTTTTGCAGTGCATTAAGGTTTTCCTGTTGGAAGCTACCACCACTTGGACTTGGCCCATTTGGTCCGCCACCACTTGAAGGAGGTAGTCCCCCTCCTGGAGGGCCCCCAGAAGGACCCTGAGATGGATGATGGCTACTTGGACCCAATGATGGTCCTTGTGGCTGTGGCTGTGGGGGATAGCTGTTGGGGTATGAGCCAGGGGTCTGTGGCCAACCTTGAGTGCCTTGTGGACCTTGTGGGTAAGAATGATGAGGACTAGGACCACCCTGAGGTGACATGCCGGGGCCACCTGGTGGGCCTTGCTGTGCAGGCGGAACACCAGGACCCGGCGACATTACCGGTGGACCCATAGGTGACGGCGTTTGAGGAGGACCCATTGGTGATGGAGCCTGAGGTGGCCCTACAGCTGGGGAGGTAGCCTGAGGTGGAGGCATCGGAGAAAGGGACTGCTGGGGTGGACCCATTGGGGATGCTGCGCTCCCAGGATTAGGACTTGGAGCCGACATCTTGCTGAAATTTACAGTAACCATTAAATTCATGAAATCAACACTACTGAATTAAAGCTCCTTGCTTGAGCAAAACATACATAAAAAAATAAATGTACTAGTATTGGCTAACATCACAAAATGTTAGTCTTTGTAATGCTTGGCAAGAAAATTAAAAAAATTCACTTTTTATCACTCATTATTTATGATGCTCTAATTCAAGCATTCACGTGTATGGAAAAATAGACACAAATGAAGTATAATGTGATCCTTGACTATGTTTTGCCCACAAAGTGGGCTTTGCCATGTCACAAACTGTGTGGGTGAAACGTAGTCAATAAAGAATTGCATTATACTGCATCTGTGTCTATTTTTTTCGTGATGGTATTTTATACCATTTATCTCCATCCACACGTATCTTCACCTATGTCGTATAAAGAATCTTCCAGCTTTTAAGATTATGCTGCTCTAGCACTGAAGAATAATTATGTTGTAGTTTATAAATTTAATGATTAGTGAGAAATCACTTAGAAACAAACAGTATAAAATACAGGCAAAAGAAATCCTTATACAGGTCGGCCATCATTAATCCAGCAATCAATAATCTCGCACCAATTTCGGCTAGCATAATTTCAAATTTCCGGGGTTGCCACACCAACCTTCCGACACTGTTTGGTGGTGCTACTTGCTGCATAAATCATTCCAATTTCTTTTTTCTCCATTTATTGCTATGACCTGCTCACTTGTAGCCATAGCCATGGTTCCAACAAATAAAAGAAATGCTTCTCGCTGTGTAAAACACATATACCGTACATTGTCCATAAAAGATAAGGTGGTTGTGAAGCCACTGTCAGTCACCAAGAGCTCAGCTCACGCAGATAAGCTGTGACCAGTAAATTTGGGCTTACATGTGAGAGAATAGGTCTGTGTGGTAAGTGTGCACTATAAAAAAATCCTGCAGCATGCATTGCATAATGAGAAAAAACTGCGACCGTGTTTTTGGTGTACAACAGAGATTTTTCAGTGTATTTTCGTAGGGTTTTTATGGTTGCATTCTTGTTTTTATGGTCTCATTTGATAGAATGGAAGATATACTACAGAAGTAGATATGATTTTGATTGGTTTCACAACAGAAAGTACCTTGAAATTGAGCTCAAAGTAGCAGAAATGTCTGATTTTCGCAAGTGCTCAGGAGTAAACAAATGACATCACCGTCCAATATGTGTCCAATTGGCTGGTCTAATATGTGGTCACGAATGGGCTGACATTACTTATACAATTATTACAATAATGAAGTAGTCTGCATAACAGGAAATAATCTATTTTTTGTGTGAATAAAAATTCAAAATGGAAAGCAAGCATAATATAAGGGGGGCTGGAGACATGGCTAATGAACAGAGAAAATGTTATTTTAGTGCCAGGAATGTCTGCACTGTTTATTCTGGAACCTATTTTGAAATTGGCATCTCTTAAAATTTGTGTGAAATTGGCCAAATTACCAATTGCTGACCACTTTATTGGGTAACTGAAATAGGTAAATGGGCAGTTTCTTGTACTCAGTCAAAAGAACAGAAGAAATACTAGTGAAATATCTATGAGTTTGGTAGACTGGAACAATGGAATGGGCCAAAAATAGGGCGGTACAGTGGGTGAAATCACCCATGCATAAATATCGCCATTGGGTTAAGTGTATTGTAACCTAACCACTCTGTAATCCTGCACCCTACAGGTCCCAATGATGCCAGATTAGTGATGGTCAACCTGTACTCTATTTGGGCAAATGTGAGAGAGATCAAGGTATATGGATAATTACTTCCATACCTGTGTCACATATTTTGTCTAATTAGTCTTTGATCAGTGATGATGACACTAACCCAAATATTGTGTTCTAGCGTTCAAATATTTGTGTTCAGTGTTCTACTATTAAACAAAATATATTTATTGTATCTTTTAAATATTATTGTGTTTTTGTTTTAAATATTGCATTCTAATTTTAACTATTGTTGTGTTTAACTTAGCCCTCTAAAGTTCCAAGGCCCAGTAAAGGCCCTACATTTGGAAGATTCCAAAACCCAATCAGGACACACAAAGTTACTGATAATGTTTCTAACCAATGTCTTCAAGTAGCCAATCAGATACCCCTAACTCCTCTCCAAGGGGAGTGAAAAGTTGAGATATGAAGCAATGTAGTTCTAGGCTTGGGAAAAATTGGTTTTCAATGTATGATAATTGTACTTACAAAAATTCATAAAAAAGAATTATGAAAGATAAGGCAAAAATCATAGAAGCAAAAAGGTCTTAGAAAGTGTCATTCAATAACAAATAAAAAGTACATAAAAATCCCTGTACAGTGGAACTCTGGTTTTCGTACATACCCGATATCGGACATTTCGGATTTAGAACACTTTTTTGGGCGAAATTTTGTTCCAGATGTCGGACATCGATCCGAAAATCACACATATCAGACACATCCGCCCACCCGGGGATGCCATCAGTCTGGCTTTGTCACTGGTTGAGTGAGCATTCATCCAAAACATTACGGAACTTTTTTTATTTATTATTAACACATCGGCCGATTCCCACCAAGGCAGGGTGGCCCGAAAAAGATAAACTTTTATCATTCACTCCAGCACTGTCTTGCCAGAGGGGTGCTTTACACTACAGTTTATAAAACTGAAATATTAACACCCCTCCTTCAGAGTGCAGACACTGTACTTCCCATCTCCAGGACTCAAGTCCGGCCTGCCGGTTTCCCAGAATCCCTTCATAAATGTTACTTTGCTCACACTCCAACAGCACGTCAAGTATTAAAAACCATTTGTCTCCATTCACTCCTATCAAACATGCTCACGCATGCTTGCTGGAAGTCCAAGCCCCTCACACAAGACCTCCTTTACCCCCTCCCTCCAACCTTTCCTAGGCTGACCCCTACCCTGCCTTCCCTCCACTACAGATTTATAAACTCTCAAAGTCATTCTGCTTTGTTCCATTCTCTCTACATGTCCAAACCACCTCAACAACCCTTACTCAGCCCTCGGGACAACAGTTTTGGCAATCCCGCACCTCCTCCTAACTTCCAAACTACGAATTCTCTGCATTATGTTCACACCACACATTGCCCTCAGACGTGACATCTCCACTGCCTCCAGCCTTGTCCCTGTTGCAATATTCACCACCCATGCTTCACACCCATATAAGAGTGTTGGTATAACTATGCACTCATACATTCCCCTCTTGCTTCAATGGACAAAGTTCTTTGTTTCCACAGACTCCTAAGTGCACCACTCACCCTTTTCCCCCTCATCAATTCTATGATTCACCTTCATAGACCCATCTGCTGACACATCCACTCCCAAATATCTGAATATATTCACCTCCTCCATACTCTCTCCCTCCAATCTGATATCCAATCTTTTGTCACCTAATCTTTTTATCCTCATAACCTTACTCTTTCCTATATTCACTTTTAATTTTCTTCTTTTACATACCCTACCAAATTCATCCACCAACCTCTGCAACTTCTCTTCAGAATCTCCCAGAAGCACAGTGTCATTAGCAAAAAGCAACTGTGACATTTCCCACTTTGTGTTTGATTCTTTATCTTTTAACTCCACACCTCTTGCCAAGACCCCCACATTCACTTCTCTTACAACCCCATCTATAAATATATTAAACAACCACAGTGACATCACATATCCTTGTCTAAGGCCTACTTTTACCGGGAAATAATCTCTCTCTTTCCTACATACTCTAACCTGAGCCTCACTATCCTCGTAAAAACTCTTCACCGCTTTCAGTAACCTACCTACCTCTACCATATATCTGCAACATCTGCCACATTGTCCCCCTATCCACCCTGTCGTACGCCTTTTCCAAATCCATAAATGCCACAAAAACCTCTTTAGCCTTATCTTATCGGAATTTCTGGGCTTGTTTATTGACTGTGACTGCGAAATAAGCCACCATGGGCCCAAAGAAAGTTCCTAGTGCCAACCCTTTGGTAAAGAGCTGAGTGAGGGGGGAGAATGTGCCTCTTCAGTGATTCTACAATATGTACGATACTAAAGCAGCAGGAGTCGATAAAGGCTATAGCACCAGCCAGCGATAAAGCTTTGCATTAACAATGTAGCAAGTAAGTTAAGCGATTAAGCGATAGAAAAAGGATGGTATGAAACTAACTCCTCAATGTTGTTGGAGGCATATAGGGCCAATGACAACATACGCTGCCTGCGTATCTTCCACCACCCTACACCAATGCCAGCATCTCCTCCAAGATAAGTGTAAACATTTCTTATTTATAAATTACATACACTGTTTCAGTGTGAATAGTGGTGGTGGCCTCTGCTGATGTCACCACCACCACTATATGTATGGCTTATGCTGTCAGTGACCCTGATGAACCCAACACCACCACCACAACCACTCCTCACATACATGTAATGACATATTTTATTCATGCTAGAGTATATATCATGTTTCTATGCTATTATTGTTTATTATGTCATATTAGATGAAACAAAGCTGAAGGGGGTAGGAGAGTTTCAGTGGGGGGAAATAAATGGGATTAAATCTGGAGTATCTGAGAGAGTTAGAGCAAAGGAAGGGGTAGCAGTAATGTTAAATGATCAGTTATGGAAGGAGAAAAGAGAATATGAATGTGTAAATTCAAGAATTATGTGGATTAAAGTAAAGGTTGGATGCGAGAAGTGGGTCATAATAAGCGTGTATGCACCTGGAGAAGAGAGGAATGCAGAGGAGAGAGGAGATTTTGGGAGATGTTAAGTGAATGTATAGGAGCCTTTGAACCAAGTGAGAGAGTAATTGTGGTAGGGGACTTGAATGCTAAAGTAGGAGAAACTTTTAGAGAGGGTGTGGTAGGTAAGTTTGGGGTGCCAGGTGTAAATGATAATGGGAGCCCTTTGATTGAACTTTGTATAGAAAGGGGTTTAGTTATAGGTAATACATATTTTATAGAAAAAGAGGATAAATAAGTATACACGATATGATGTAGGGCGAAATGACAGT